TTTCCTCTCATTGGTGGTGTAGCTAGAAGGATACTCACTTCTTCTAACGCAAGAGTCGGCCGCTCATACGGCCTTGTGATGCCTTTGCAGTTGGTCTTTTTAGATGTCTCTCTAGATATATGTGAAGGTGATAGAAAGAGCATAGTTACTTTGTGTAAGAGACTTCTCTACAATTTCCAACCTTCGATTCGAGAATATCTTATCATAGGGAACATTGCAAAGACGGGTGGGTGGATTACGGAGCACAGGGGGAAATAAATTAAAATAAGATGAGACTACTCCGTATATGAACTACACAAACTAATCAAGCTGAACGAACTAATTTAAATTGAAATAAACTAATAAAACTAGACAGACTAGACAGACTAGAAGAAACAGAAGGAATTGGAAGATCCAATAATAGGAGAAAGGGGATAATATAAGGGGGGGATAAATTAGGAGAGGGGAAAGAAATAGGAGAGACAAGTCAAAGCCGCATGCGGTCTCGATCCCGTCTCCGGCTTCACCGCCGTCTCCTTTTTCTTGAATTATATCTATTCTATTCCCTCTCTTCTACCTACAGGCTTAATTCCTTTCTATCTCTTTCTTCTACTCTTCTACTCTCTCCCACTGACCACTGACCACAAATGTCAGATCCTTTATCCCTCCCGCCATAAGCGCTTATCTTAGTCTTCCATTTCCCCGCTGATGTGCTGATGCGCCACTCTTGATTACTAGAACTTGGGATCTCTTACCATATCTTTCCTCGCTTTCCCACTCATCCTCGGTCTTGAATTCTAAACACTCAAACTCTGGTCCTCATTCAGCTGGTGTTGACAATCATGCATCACACAGTTCGTTACTAAAAAAAAAAGCTGTGACTTCAAAGAGGTTGCGACCATGGCACGCGCTGACGATTCATACTCCCGTGAGTCGGCCTTTCCCGTCATGAAAAACCGACTGGCGGGGGAGTCTGGATCGCTCCAGCGTCCTAAAAAGACGAGACCAGGCATTGAAACTGGACGGGCTGCCTCATATCACACTCTTCCGTCTCGAGATCTGAACAACTCCCAAGATCAGTTCTCCTTTTCCGATATTGCCGCCTACTCGCATTCTTCTATCAAACTCAAAAAGCGCAGCTCTATGGCTTCAAGCATGGCCATACCTGATACCATACCGGGTGAACAGCAATGGAACTCAGAACAGGAGTTGATGAATGCTTCTGAACACAATATATCCTCTGAAGCTCTCGACTCTCGCTCTTACAAAAACAAATCCATGAAATCTAAGATCCATATCAAGCCCATTCTGCGGAAAATCTCCCGGGATGGTGCACCTTCGACCTCAATCGATCTGTCCCGATCGTCCACTGACCAAGAGGGGTTGGGCATTTATATGAACTTCGAGCGGGAGCACCCGCGCAGCGAGTCCCTCGCAGGTGTTCCTTACAAGAGAACACCTTCCGGTCTTCACAATAGATCTACCAGTGGGACATCTCAGTTCTCAAATGGCTCAGGCTCGGCTACGAGCAAGCCCGGATCACAGTACGTGCATCCCATGAGACAGACGCCTCGAGCGTACACTCCACCATTAGGCCAGTCCTATGAGGAGTCGAGCCATGATAGTGAAGAATTGGATGAAAACCTCGACTCGGAACCTGCGTCTATCCAAGAAGCCCGTACTTCTTCAGGCCCGGCTCTACCCCGGCTGTCATTGCAGATCCAAGATGATTCTTTCACCCGTCTCCCCGGAATTTCACAAACCAATGTGACCAGTCGACCGTCCTTTGGGTACTCGCGGGAGACCGATAGTACTGCATCTCCGATGTCTAGAACGTCTCTCGACTTTGTTTTCCGATCCCGAACCCGAACTAGCACCGATCCGATCTCCCGTGCCGCTACGGTTCAGGCTGCCCGTCAGGCATTTGAGGAAAAAGAGGCTGCTAAAAATCGTCGGCTTGAAAAACAACAGATCAAAGCCGAAGAGAGGGGCTCCCGACGTCTTTTGAAACGACACACGTCGGAAGATCCTGAGTCTCCTGTGCAGTCCAGAGAGGAGATCTCTGAGAAGCCCCAGAGATTCATCGTACATGGGAGCGAAGAACCGTCGGCCTCGTGGAAATCCCAATCCAAAAGCACATGGGTTCTCTTCATGACCTGGCTTCGAACTCGAGTGTTCAAACTGCGACGAAAGATCAAGAAACTTAACTGATTCTGACATATTTCGTCCCTTTTTCATATGTTTTCCCTTTGTTTCACCGCTTTTCTTTGTTTTGTTCCAAGTTCATTCTTCCAATGAGCGAGCGGTTGATTGTTCTTCTGGTGTATGACCTAGGAGTTTTTTTTCCACCTTCATGGGGATATCGCTCAATATGAGCAGGATACACGGCGTCTTGATTGCTGTCTTTGCAACGCATGCGTTTGCCATCTCTAGGCAATCGCAGGTCGAGTGTCCTAGAGATAGGGACATAGTATTTCTGAGGGCATGTTTTTATGCATGGGAAACGAGAAATGTGGGATATGATTCCCCAATGTTGCCCGACCAAATTATGAAATGAAATTCATACCATTATTCATTTGTTTGTAACTGTAACCATCTAATGTTGTTTAGGGTCTATGGATATCATAGTAGTCACGTGATCAAGCTGCGCTGTCCGCGTCGTCCCCAATTTCCCGCAAAGACTACGGCGCACAGTAGCGACAACAACCGCCTGATAAGCTCCACATCTTCCAGCTCTATCTATTTCTTTCAAAAGACGCACCTCCAAGGAGGGAAGCGTCTCCTTTATCATGGTGTACGATTGGTCTGGCAAGCGGGATATCTGCTTCCAGATGTACATTCAGGAAAAGAAGGCGTTGGAGGAGATCATGGACTACATGCGAACGGCCTGTCAATTTGCGCCAAGGTAAGTTTATCAACTTGCTTTTATCCATTGAACGCCAATTGATTTTTGTCACTTATCTAGCAAACGTGCCTTTCAAACCCAGTTCAAACGATGGGGCTTTCCGTCAAAACAAAATCCAGCGCACAAGAATATCGAGCTCGTCGCCCGAGTCAAGCAGCTTTGGGAACGGAACACAAGCCAGCGGGATATGCTTCGCATCTTGAATGATGAAGGCTTTGAGATTAAAGAGAGGGAATTAATGAGAGTGCGCGCAAAGAATCGCTGGCTGCTGCGAGTCCCCAACGGAATGAAGTCGCAGTCAAATATCGAGGAACAAGTTATTCCACCGGAGGATGAGGGCCTACTCGCCTTGCAACAGGAGGTATACAAGGTCGAAAGCGCACTCGATGATCCGCATTCTCTCCATACACAACCCGATGCTGAACGCCCAACCACCGATTCCCCTGCTCTTTCACCGGAGGTCATCGCAAAACGCCAAGAGCGACTTGACCGTCTAAAGACTGAAAGTGCAGAGCGTTGGGCATCGCGAAAACGTCGTCGTCGAACTCGAGGATGGGCCGGGCTGCCAGCTGATCCTCCGGGGCCTCCACGCTTTCCGTCGGAGACAACGATTGATGAGAGCAAGCAGTATCTCAACTTAGACAACACTATGTACCGCCAGATCAGAGACCATTTTCAGCGGATTTGTGAAGAAGCGGGCTTCATCAAGAAAACCGCAGCTGGTCCTGAGAGATGGCAAGCTGCAAAAGACAAATTGATCCAAGAATCCCCACACCTCCAACATGTGTTTAATACAGATCCTACTCAACGCGATGCAAAGGCTCTTGCCCTCGATGTTGTATGCACCGATGTCACGAAACGAATGCGGACTCTAGAGAGACGTATGACAATCGCAGAGGCGAAGAATGCCCTGGGGATCAACCCGGAAGAAAGTCGGCAGATCCGAAATGCGTTCTACGACACTTTGAAGGTGGATCATTTCACAAGCAAGTTAGAGGCCGGCGATGAACACTGGAGAGAGCTCAAAGAGCGATGGATTGCAAACTCGGAGCTGCTTCAGCAGATACTCGCGCCTGGGCCAGCTGACCCAGATCACGGCAACAAACTAAAGGCTCTGGAAGTACTCTGCCGGGATGTCATGAAGAGACTTCGAGACGACCAGACTAAGCGAGATCCGGCACGTAAGAGATCCTCGGCACGTGCCGAGTCTCGGAACCGAACACCTACAACCTCCTCTATGGGCAGCATGCTAGGCAACGAGATCAGCAATGGCATTAGTACTTTGGCCTCTCAGGCGCTGGCCAGTGCACCAATTACGGCTACTGAGATTGGCGAAATGCAAATTGACCCTTCACTACTCCAGGCTGCGAATGACCCATCCTTCTCAGCCAATCCACACCACGGCGCAGGCAATGGCTTTGAATATGTGGATCCCATGCTCAGCTCCACACTCCTACATACCCCCGTATGGCTCCAGGTCGGTTCGAAAGACCAGTCGCAAGAAACAACCCAAAAACCCTGGCTCGAAAAGCTACCCACACGAACCGTGGAAGAGCTTCGGCAATTGATCGGCGCCAGGTATCCCTATTCAATTATTACCCGAATCGAGGGCATTGACAGGGATGAGGAAGGGAATAATATTCCATTCTCAATCGATGATGATCACGAATTGGATGCATACTTGACCCATGTCCACGGAAGGAAAGCGTTGCTTGAATTCACCTTGGGGCAGATCTGAGAACTACCTGCCCTGGTGGCATGCGTAGATTCGGTTTTGCTAAACAGCGTTATTACCCCCATTTAAGGATATCAAATGGAAATTTACTTTAAGGAACAAGCTAAATAAGAGAGACAATGTTCTTTCTTCCTTGGGTGGTTGGGGATCCATCAATCTCGTAGATTCAAGGACGCATTGTAGTACAAGATGGTCGACACCACCATGAATTGAATAGTAAAAATGGATCATGAAGTTATGAGCGGTACCTAAGGTGGCCATATACATATACTGCATTTTTCGCCGTCCACAGTTCCAATATTTAAAAACAAAAAATCCCTGTCAACCGCTACACCTGTGCACCGAATAAGAAACCGCCAAGGACCACAACCATCAACTTAGTTAAGAGCCGAGTGTTTGGACCACGTTCCTGAAAAGGACCCCAACAGCTGGCAAGGAGAATGATGGAGTCTCACCAAACACACTAGCTAGTCCCTTTGTTTGAGCAGAAAAGTCCTCCACGTCGTCAGATTGAGCGAGGAGCCTCTCCGGTCCGCGGTTGAAGAGAGTTGCCAGTCCATTGTCAATTTGGCCGGTCACATCACGGGACTGATTGTTGTGGCTCTTCTGTGAAGCCTTGCCCAGACAGCCAAGACGCTGCACAGTTGCTGCAGAATCAACGACGATGTAATCACCAGAATAAGCATCAGAGAGCAGTGCAACCGGGGAGGTATGCAGGGTTTCCTGGAAGACTACCTCGAACGATGGGACGTCATAGATCTTGATTTGGAATCGGACCTTACGTCGTTTCTTGTGTGACGAACTCGTAACAATTGCCAATGAATTCGTTCTGGCATTCACGGCAATAAGCTGTGAGGTCCCGGCAGGCGAATCCACAGACTCTGACGACTGGATAGTCTTGACAATATCGTCGACTGTGTCCCAGACAGCTACCGAGTGAGTAGAAGCGACGATCAGATGGCTTCCCAGGAAACTTGTTGAGCAGGGGTTTCCAAGAAAAACACCGGTGCGTCGGTAGTGCACAGAGCAGTTGTGTGCATCAATCAGCAGAACAAGACCGTCATTTGCAGCCGATGTCGACGGCAGACAGACGGCCAGCACTGAGCCATCTTCGGAGAAAATCATACAAGCCGCATCCAGAGGAGAATTTTCGGTGGAATTGAGACATCCCTTAAGGTCAACAGTACCACGACACTTCCACGTGTTCAGATGCTGATCTGTTTGATCTTTGGCTTTCAGCCCACTTCGACATTTCGCAGTTGGACACCAGAAGCGGAGAATAGAGTCAGCACCTAGTGTTGCAAACTCGTGGGCACCGGGCCGAGAAGCTAGACCAAGTACAGCTGAGTGATGATTCTTGGAGAAATGAGGACCGTCAACACGAGTGACCAGTTCCCATGTATCAGAGGAAGCGTCCCACTTCCAGAACTTCAAAAAGACCTCCGGACGAAGGGTGGCGGTGGATTTAGCATTCACAGAGCGATCTAGGGCTTCCACATCTTGAGGATGAGGGGCCCAGGTATCAACCGTGGCTAACCACTTTGCATCATGCACAATATCCAAGTGCTTAACATCGGGTGCGACGATTTGAGACCCTTCAGGGCCGACGCTCAAAGTTGTCGCATTGGTTCGCGCAAGGGCTTGGCGGGAGATATTGGTGTTGACGCGGATATCATATGTCTGAAGCACAGCCGCATTTGCAGGCTGAGAGCCATACTGGTTTTGAGTAAGCTGGTGGGATGCTGGGACGGCCACAATCAATCGCTCTGGTTGCTGCGGGTGCAATTTCGCCACAACGGATCCCTTTGAGGATTCCACAGAGCCTGACATATCTGGGCACAACTGCAATCCTGTGATGGTAGTGAGAGGTTGCAATTCTCTCGTCGACAAGATCATGACTGAGTTATCGGCCAGTTTAACCACATATGAGCTGCCACTGGTAGAGACGACGATGTTGCAGATAGGGGAGGAAAGATGGGGAAGGAATTGCTTCCGGCCAGTGTCCAGTTGCCAGAGAACCATGACTGACTCCTGGCCACCCGAAATAATGTAGTTTCCTGATAAGATGTAAGCAAACTCTCTCTCGGAAACATGTGTATGTAAGTAGACATACCGTCTTTAGACCAACGCACGGTGTTCACAGAGCCGCGGTGCCAATGCAACTTCCTGGGCGAAGACCTTTTATCGCTGAAATCCTTGTCGAGGAGACCATTCAAGACATTTTGGTAAATCAGGATAGAACCGCCGCTTTCTCCTACCGCCAGATCGATGGATTCCGAGCCTTGGATCTGGATGTCAAAGCAAGTAGCATTGACAGGAAGGGTTACCTCGCGCCAGGCATACTGGGCGGTTTCAAGGGTTTCAAGCTCTGCGCTAGTAGTAGCACCCACAAAAAGATGCTTACCATCACTGGCGATGATCACTCGGCCGTCAGGAGTTACCTTGATACTATTGATCTTCTGGCTGGTCTCTAGGGCGGTGGTGGTGCCTTGGATCTTTTTGTCCCCCAGTGTGTTGATCGAAATATGTCGTTTTCCATCTTTTTGTGAGATTATGGAAAATGAAACGGCAGCTGTGCATCCTTCTTTTCCCACAGAGGCTAGGCTTGTTGAAAACGTTGTGCAGGTGGTCTCCCAGCGTGCGATGCGCTTTCCGGAACTCCAATTCCATTTGCTAGTAGAGCCCGAAGACGTGAAGATGTAGAGGCTTTCCTGGTCCTCGGGGCAGATACTGAATCCAATGATCTGTTGGCCAGACTCCATTTGCAATGTGCGTGACAGGCGAGAGGTTGAGGTTGCGAATACTTGAACGGCCGTGTCAAGTCCCACCAGGAGATGTCTGGGATAGAAAAAGGTCAGAATGCGTCTCACTATTGTTCTACAGAAAGAGTCCTCACGTGTCATTGTGGGTTAGAATTGGATCCAGGTTGTTGTAACGACCGCCAACAGGACGTGAGAAAGACCACGGTGCGAGGCTTTTTTGCTTTGTCTCAGCATCTTGTATCTGCACAACGTCATTGGAACCCTCCTTCACACCGTCGGTTGGCTCGACTGTCTGAAAACTTTGGTTTTCGTAGACTCCGGAGACTCTGCGCCTTTTGGACCGCTCTTCATTTAACCGGGCTGACTTCTCAGAGGCCGCATCGCTAAGCCGGGATCGTTTTTGCTGTCGTGCTGACTGATTGGCCGCCATTTTTGCGGGTGAAACAAAATTGAGAAAGAGAAAGAAAGGAAAGATATAAGTGTAAGTTGGTGCGGCTCACACAATCGCAGTTCTTGCAAATTGGGGCACAGTTGTAGAGACTTAAGTGCAAAGACTTGGGTATGGGGATATCCATGGTCTACTTTTTTTTCCCAAGGTAAAGTCAAAGCGGGGATATTTGGCAGAAAATTACAGTCCTCCTGATTGGGTTAGATCGACCTTCGATATTCGCGGGAAAAAAAAAGTCTGGCTCAAAGCGACATCATTCACATCTAATCGACCTTTTTTATTCAATTCTCTCATTCTCAAAGTCATCTCCTCAGTCGAGTCGCCAAAATGATTATCCCCGTCCGTTGTTTCTCTTGTGGCAAGGTAAGCAGCTGTTTTTGAGTCTGTGATGTATAATCTTTGCTAAACCCCCGAATGTAGGTTGTCGGTGACCTCTGGGAGCGCTACCTGCAGCTTTTGGATGACGGTGTTCCAGATGGGTATAGCAGTCTCCAGTCTATCGCATCCGTCTGTGGCTAATAAACAATTTCACAGTGACGCTATGGACCAGCTTGGCTGCAGACGGTACTGCTGCCGGCGAATGATCATGACCCACGTTGATCTGATCGAGAAACTTCTCCGGTATGTCTCTTGTTATTTTGGGATCTCATTTACCGTTGCTCATTTTTTACAGCTACAATTCTGCCGAGAAAGATCGCTCCAAGGCTCAAGTATAGGCCAATCAATTTCTCACGCTAGTCAACCTGTCATCGACTCAAGCCGAAGCTTTCCTGTCGAGAACCACACAAACCCCTATTTCCCCCTACCACCAGTTCAGGCCGACTTTTTACGTTCTGTCGGCCAGAAGACATTGGGAGCATACTGAAGTTTGCAAAAGAAGAGACACCATCATCTTAAGCTTAATAATCAGGTCAATGGTTTTTGCTTGGTCTCTATATTCAAGTGCTGCCAGGTTTGGATTTCTCTGGGGGCAGTGAAATGGTTTGAGATGCGACGGGTGACCCAGGCACCAATGAAGATGGGACGAAGTTCCTCACCGGTGTTTCTTCTGGTATTTGCATTAAGGGCGGCGTTGCACTCTACACATATGGCGTCAAAGGAGGTATCTGCGTTCTGATTATTATCATCTTCAATGGATTTTAGAGCTCGACGGCTTGCAGTCTGACTCACCAACAGTGTAAAAGCAGCCATTGTAACCCAACCCTACCCTGACTTTGCTCAACCGCTACTGCTTTGTTCTTTGTCCCTTTAAAAATCCTTGAGCTGTTGTGGCCAGTTTCTCTCATACATCATGGCCCTCTGTCGGTTCGAAGTATAGTCGTTGCTGTCAGACTTGCAGAGTGAATCAATTCTCCAGCAGACTCAGACATTGGGGTCATTGTTATGTTCATGGTAATGACCAGGTTGTTTGTTACCTGAAACATAAAGATGTACACCATATAGACAAGGTAGACTAGTACTCCGCACGAATTATTCATAGAATGAATTATCCCTAGCAGTTTTGCCCGATACAAACGGGCATGTTCCCCGCTTGGGCGCGTCCGATATGACCATAATAGCCGGAGACCCATTTTAGATCTGCAGCATACCTAGCATGAATTAATCTTCTGTTTAATGGGCATGCACTGTAGGTTTCTACTGAGTTGGGTAGATCTTGTCGCAAACCAAAGGCATCTAAACAGTTTCTAGATTCTTGAATTTAGATACTCGCAAGTTCGTAATTTCGTAATTTCGTAAATTCTTACCCGAGGGCTCAAATAGGCGCCGTGATGAGCATGCATCTTGACCTCCATTGGCCAGTCATTTCGAGGGGAGCTGCATGGGAACTATACCGCATCCAGGACAAAAGCGCTTCCATCGGTCACAGCCAATCAGATGGCGAAGATGCATGACAATAACAATAAAATCTATGCAATTGCTTCACGGTGCACATTGCTCAAGAGGCCTTTCTTTCTACAATTAACTCTCAGTTCACATATGGAAATAATGTAAATGTGAAATTGGTACTCCAAGTTCAGCGCTATATATAACATATTTCTCCTCTGTCATCCTAACCATCCAAAATATGAAGATGTATTGAAGAAACTAACATCACGTGTAGTATGCGCTAGGTAAGCGATTAGGGACTGGGCTCAGCTCCCTCAAGTGTTGCTCCCCGCCGCCCCCCCCCCCATCGTCCTTTTTTTTTACTCCCTCTTGGTTGAGCTTTGTTTTCTTATATCTCATGCACATTTGGCCATGGCCGCCAGGTCGCCGCCATCTGTCCTACCATACCGCGTCAACTCCACAGCTCCGGCTTACTATTCTTCACGCTCGGCAATGTAAGACAACTACTGGTTTCCCTAAGAGCACCGCTGATGCGTAAACAGGTCTCCTGATGGGATCATCGATGGGAATGAGAGGGCCCACTTCTCCGCTCCCGAGCTGATAAACAGCTTATCGGGGGCCAAGGCCAATGAAGAGGATTGCAATGATTGCGATGATTCCAGCGGAGATGATAGCTCTTTTGAACCTTTCCGTGGATCTGGGGTTGCTCCTCAGTCAGAACTAATAGTATGTTCAGTTTGCGGGCTATGTATTTCAGTTGGGCTCACACTAAATAGATTCAAACCGAATACCAAAATCATGTGGAAAGCAGCACAAGATCGGATGACGATGAACCTCCGCAGTCGGTGATACATGCTCCGCCAGGATTTGGTGATTTTGTAGGAATCCCACTAGGACTGTTGCCGCGTTGGCTAATGATGAGTCTATCTAGGCGCCAATGCAGCCCAGTTACAAGGGCACAGAGGAGTCACAGTCGCGATCAGTCAGTTCTGATGAGCAAACGGATAGAATAAATGTACCTACAAGGCCGAGAAAGGTCATTTCATAATAGTCCTCGCCAGTTCATATATGCCGCTAATGACCTTTATCCATACAGTTCGGCAATAGTCCAAAATCGCCGCCTCTATTGATAACATCCCTCAGCCTCGAAAACGATTGTACCGAGCGAGCGACACCACGTGCACAAACAAGACATGAGTTTGAAATACTTGAGAGACGCAATCGTTCAAGTAGCTTACAAGGTACTATAGCTGATTTCTTTCAAGTCATGCTTTGATTCATGATAGCCCTTGCTGACCCTTTTCCAAAGATATCCCCGAAGGTATAACCATGAACGCAAATGCACTTTAAGTCTAGCAAATGTGACTAATTTAAATCCAGGACTAATCAGCAAAGAGGCCGAAATCAATGCCCTAGGAGCGGCTCTCAACGAATGCTGGACACTATGCAACACGCTAGCCAATCTTAGTTATATCCATCGAGAACGTCTACTCAAGTCCCACAATAATGATATGCAAGAGGATGCATGGCGGTCATGTTGGAGACTTTGCCAGAAGCTCTATGACACACGAGACGACGACTACGCATTACAAATCCATCCGACTCTTGATCTCTGTCGAGATTTTTGTCAGGCGCTGTTTGAAGCCCGTATTCGCGACACCGACCTATCTGACTCGGTCTTACGTGTGAGTTTTGAATTAAATACCCATCTTTACAACACTCACGATCGGAACCTTCCCGATGCCTTCCGCGAAAGAACCTTGGATTTCTATATTACTTTGTGTCATCGTCTCATGAAGCAGCGCACTCGCATCATGGAGACAGACTCTCTGCTGAGTGCATGTTGGACATTAGCTGAGATGCTGTTCAGCATTCGCCAGAGCAAGAGGGAAGAGAAGCCACTCGATGAAGAGCTGTTGGGATCTGCGGTTCAAGCCTGCTGGGAGCTTTGCGATCTCTTCCGCGAGGGCTGGACCCTCCATTGTTTGCGGAACTCGGATCGGGGAACACCTCGACCGAGTCAAACCACGTTTTCTCAGACATTTCATCAGACTTCACGGCAGTCGGAGCTAGATCTCGGTGATGAACCAATGAGCCAGCTCGGCAACCCCGAGACTCCAACCACCATATTCGAGGACACTGCAACGGCTTCACCCGACGACGCTCTGATTCCAAATATACTGGTATTAGGTTATGGGAACGGGCATACTAAGCCTCATACCAAGTGGTCATCCAATGCATCCAGCATTTCGGAGCAGTCCCGGTCATCCGGTCATACAGTATCCTCAGCCAACACGGTGACCACCATCTCAGAGGATCAAAATCTCACGCGACTAAGGATTCTGATCACCAAGGCTGCCATCAGTAGTGGTTATCAACGGGGCGGGAAGCAGAATCTCTCATCTTTTGTGAAATCGCTTCCCTCGGATGCGTTTGGCTCCGCGGCGTGGCAGACGTCGTTGTTGAAGAACTATAGAAAGGTCGTGGCGTTTGACCCGACATTCAGAAGTGCTGGTCTGCAGGCCCGGGTGGGTGCCATTGATGTCGCGCATGCATGCCAGGCAATGCTGCAAAGCGGCCAGTACTCCTGGCTTCGTGACCTCTACCGGCTCGTCTTTGGATTCCATATTGAAGAAGCAATGGGCCGCAAGGGTGCAACTATCCAAACTTAGCGTCTAGGTCAATCACAACTCGCCATCTTATATACCACTATGGAATATGCTCGGCCCCGTAGAGGATTTAACAAATTCAACCTCGACGTTTGAAGTGGGGAATTAGGGACGTCATCGCGTTCCTGTTGTGTACAGAACTACTAGTGATTAAATTTTTCTTGTTCTTGTTTCGGGATGTTTTGCTAGGGTTTGAGCTTATGTTATGGTCCCTGTCGGGAGGAAAGTTTTTTTTACTTCTTTTAGGGAATAGTCTCTCTTTTTTGATATGGAATAATACTTAGGACGGAGTTAGCTAACCGCCTCTTGGAGGCGGTTAGCGTTGCCGTCGGGCTAGGACTATAGTCCTACCTACCCATTATATTTATTAGTTTCTAGGAATCTGTCTACGAGTTCGGTTTTTTTTTCTTTTAATCCATTGGATTTTAAGTTTTTATCAATTTCTTCTATCAGAATTAGTAAGTAGAGTGGTCCTTCTAGAAGGAGCTAAGTAAAGTCTAGAGGAGAGACTAACTCGCGGTGATAGGTTAGGTTTCGGCCTATTAGAGATTCTTAGTGGTTCTAGATGTGACGATCTGGGAGGATTTCTGCCGGAAGTTTCCGTCTTGACGAGGTTTGTATTGTTTGATTGTTGGATCGTGACAGGACCCCATTAAGGTTCCTGTCTCACAGGTTTCTTTCTTTCTTTCTTTCTTCTTCTTTCTCTGTACTTAGTATTCTCGTTGAAATGCACTCCTTTGTTTAAAGAACTGGCTGGTAACACTAGAGGGGGGCTTTCTAACGCTACTAGTAGACTGCGACATCGCCCATGGACGGTCGGGTGGGCACTGCCCACGGGCCTTATGTAAGCGGGAATGGGCCCTATGGATACGCCTATGGACGGGCCCTACCCTCAGGGCCTATAGGCCTTGGGCGTCGTAGGCGCCCGTGGGCCTTTTTAGTAAGTAGAATTTCTTAACCTCGTGATGTATATTATTTATGCATTTTTTTCTCTATATTTTCAAGTAATTCAATCATTTTGCTTCGATTCGCTCAGCAAATATACAATACAATCAATTTCTTAATTACTAACCGGCCCCTGAATTTTTTTTTCAAAAAATACGGACCCTCGCAAGCGAGGGTCTGCCACCCATTTGCAATACACCACCCAAATGCAAGTTTTTTTTCACATTTTTCTCTTTTACTTTGATCGTCAACCACACCACCAAGAATGCCTAAAACCAATAAAGACAGAGAAACAGCTTCAGCTTGCTCTCGATTCTCTATCTGAGCAGACAAAGCCCAATATCACGAAAACTGCGCGAGAATTCGCGGTTCCTATGCACCGACTACGCCGGCGATGGAAAGGTGGAAAATCCCCTTTTCAACGAGCACCTAATGGTAGGAAGCTCAATCCTGAATAAGAGCAGGCTTTATGTGATTATATTGATTACTTTGACACGGTCGGAGTATCGATAAACCGACGCCAAATTGCAATTGCTGCCGATTCAATTCTTGAGAATGACCATACCGATCCCACTACGCCTGCTCCATAAATTGGTGCCCACTGGCTATCACGTTTCCTGAAAAGACACACTGAGTACTATGTACGACGCCGGCGAGCTCTTGATATCGAAAGAGCTACTGCACTTGATAAATTAGTGGTTGAAAGGTGGTTTGAAGACTACAAGCAAGTGATCACTGAGCATGGGATTTGCCAACAAGATATCTACAATTTCGACGAAACCGGCTTTC